GAGCAAATGAACCACGTTGTTCAACACTTGTTGAGGCATTACATTAAGCCTAATCAAGCGGACTGGGATGAGAAGCTTGCTCTCATCGCCAGCCTATACAACAACGCAGTTCATAGTGCCACGGGAGTAAGTCCTAATAGCCTGCTTCTAACGTTCAAACCCAGACTTCCCCTTGACTTTCTGCTACTTGAGAACCAGCCTACTGCTGCTCCAGGCAATTTGGAATTCCCTTATACATATGAGAACACAGTAGAGCACATGCACAAAGCACAGGCAGCAATGATCGAATCTGAGAACAAGCACCGCCACCCATCTATGTTTCAGGTAGGGGACACAGTCTGGGTCAAGGCTTCTGAACTGGGACAGGAGCACGAGATTTCCCGAAAGCTCATGCCACAGTACTTTGGACCGTGGGAGGTTTTAGATGTAGTTGGGGATGAACCAGACGGACCTTCATATGTTATTCGGATTCCCAGACACCTTTGTACTTACCCTGTTTTTCATGCTTCTAAGCTTGCACCATTCAAGGAAACTGACCAGTTCCCTTCGCGACGCTCAATGCTGCCCCCAACCATGGATGGAGAGGTCGACATTGATGAAATTGTGGATCACAGAGAGATGCCAGTTCCAAGACTGACCGGCAGGGGACGTCCTCCAAAACTGAAGCTGCAGTACCGAGTTCGGTCAAACATCACACTGATCCAAAGGAGGATAGGTGGTTCACAAAGGAGGAACTGATGCAGACCGCTCCACAGGTTGTCGCTCATTATGCGAAGTCTCTGCAGAAAGGAAAGCGCCAGATTATCGAAGATTGAACTTCTCAGAGGACAAGCGAAATATGGAGGGAATGTGAGGCATAGGCCTCGATAAGCCCTACTGGGCCCCTATTTGCAATAGGTCGGCCGCCCTAAGTGAAGGCCGGCCCGACAGACGACGAGAGGCCTATTTTGGACTACTTCGCAACTGGGGAAAATTCAGGCAGTTGCGCAGCACCAGTTGGTTGAAGGTGCCCAGGCCTTGGCCTCCTTTACCGATTGTATCTGAGTCAGGCCCTGGGCGAGATACGCAGCATAGACCCAACTCAGACAGCGGGCAGCTGGGCACGGGTAACTGTCAGTGGCCCTGGGCCTGATTCGTTTGGTCTGAGGCTCAGCCTCCCTGGGCCTACCGGAAGCTTCTGGGCAGGGGCCCAGCGCAGCCAGGCTGCATGCAAGCAGGCTGGCCACTTCCATTTAGGAAAGGGCCAGCCTACGCATTCGCCATTCGGGCACTGGCTGCTTTGTGCGCAAGCGCTGCTGTGCTATCGCTGGCCAGGCTCACACGCTCACGGACGAGCTGGAAGGAGCAGGCAGCCATAGCCGAGCTGCGCTGCTGTATGCTGGATGGAGCGCATGGTGGTCCTTGGGTGCATGTGGCATCTGTGAGTTGGGGAACGAGGTTGGGAGTGATACGAGAGACATACCTGGTGCTTGAAGCATGCGGCATTGTCCAAGATCTGCTCGTACTTCGGGGGAGCTGTTGACGTCATCAGCGACATTGTAGTCTAGGCTAGATAGGATCTGCCATTTGTAGTCTGGACGCCGAGCGCCAGATAGGATATCGACATTGGTTCTTCGTTGATGATGATGAGACTATTCCAGCATTGTCAATTATGAGCTTTTGCTGTGTTCTGATTTAGTGAAACTCGTGATGCAATTCTGCTATTGGTTCGAGGTCATGACTATCTGGTCTCATGTGTATGATGCTGTTTGAAGCGTGGTCTCATGCGTATGATGCTGTTTGAAGCGTGCGGCATTGTCCGAGATCTACTCGTACTTCGGGGAGCTGTCGACGTCATCAGCGGCATTGTAGTCTAGGCTAGATAGGATCTGCCATTCGTAGTCTGGACGCCAAGCGCCAGATAGGATATCGACATTGGTTCTTCGTTGATGATGACGAGACTATTCCAGCATTGTCAATTATGAGTTTTTGTTGTGTTCTTATTTGGTGAAACTCGTGATGCAATTCTGCTATTGGTTTGAGGTCACGACTATCTGGTCTCATGCGTATGATGCTGTTTGATTTCTGTAAGTTCGCTATCGCTCTTCTTCCTTGGATTTCTCTATCTGGTAAAGACTTTCCGTGTGCCTCTAAGGACATCCGTTAAAATTGGAACGATACAGTGAAAGAGAAGATTAGCATCCCCCCTGTGCAAGGATGACACGCAATAAATCGAGAAATGGAAAAAACAAGAAACAAAAAAAAGTTGAAGTGGATGGAGAGAGAGAGAGAGAGAGTTATGGTTAATAGGTGGTGTCATTTTTGGCGAATTTTTCACCGAAACTACCATATTTCCCAGAATTTTTTTATTTTTTTTTCTTGTCTTTCTTTTTTGGCTAATATGAATGTGCTTTAGGGTATATCTGTATCTGTATGTATTCAGATTCAACG